CTGTTTAGGTTCTTCAGTATATTAAATGTGTTGAAATTGTAAAACTCAGAGTTTGTAAACAATAAAATAAAAAATTAAATGCAAGCTACAAAAATTAAGGAGTAGGAAGTAATATGGCATCAATAAAAATTCTATCATCTCTGTTAGCAGTACTTGGTATAAATATATAAATATATACAGCGAATGTCTAGCGTGCCCTTAGACTTCCTGTTATGTGAAGTGTCTATCTTATGTGTGTCTCAAATCCCTGCTCTTGCAATGACACAGGTTAAAGAAACAGCTGTTTGCAATTTATTTAATCATTAGCTAGCATAATCATCTCTATATGATTATGTGCCAGCAGTGCTGTTACTCTTCAGTGGCATGCCTTCTAAAAAAAGTATGTTATTTCCAGCATGATCACATATACTGTTCCTGCACATATTTGCTAAAACTAATTTCAAAGCCAATATGGATAGAAGCAAGATCTTTCCAAATGTTCCCAGGATACATTTACCCTTCAGCTGTTTGACAGGTTTCAATTCAGTATATGTTAGCAACACATGAAACTGCAGAAGATTGGACACTGGTACTAGTTTCTTCTATGCCCCAGGGGTGACTCTACCCCCACCTGTCCACTTCCTGCAAGCTCTAACCCCTGCCTTGCCCCTTCCCCTTAATGCACTGCATCCTTGCTTCACCCCCTTCCTTCCAGCATTTCCTGCATGTCGGGAAACAGCTAATCATAGTGGATGGGAGAGAGAGGGAGAAATTGATCAGCAAGGCTGCTCACAGATGGGAGTCATTGCGGGGAGACAGGGGAGCTGGCTAAGCACTTGCTAATTTTTTTTCTGTGGGTGCTCCAGCTCTGGAGTACCCATGGAGTCGGCACCTATGGAACTTGGAATAGTTACATCCTGTTGAAATCCACAGTCCTCTGTGATGTAGAAATCCCATGACAAATGCCAGCATATTCTAAGTTACATTGACTGAAGTGAGATGGAAAAGGCAGTAGATAAAGAGCTGATAAACACAAATTTCGTATCTTCAATTCTATCAGCAACAGGAAAAGTAGCCTACTTCTTGTTTGTGGGTTCCAAATAGCAACTCCCTCTTGCAGGGGCCATGCCGACCACATTAAGAATTCTTTCAGGCATGAATTTTGCAGGTCACTGTTGGATGGAGATCAGAGTGAGGGTTATTCAGAGTATTTCTCCACCCTCATTAAACAGACAAACACTCACAGTGGAGACTGGAACCGGGAAGGCAAGGAATCTGGAGCAAAAAGCTATGGGAATGGAGGAAACTACAGAGAGCCCAAAGAGGGAGGCTGGCTCTGGGAGCTTTGGCAGAAAGACTAGGACTGGCTGGGTCAGAAGACAGGAGGAAACTGCAACTATAAGCCAGAGGGGAAACTGTGATGGAAAAATCAATGAGAGGAGGAGACGGAGCTCAGACAAACATCCAATGAGAACTGACATTGACCTGGCATGGCTCTGGGAAGCGGTGCCTACAACCTCACCAGGCCTCTGGGCAAAGTAGGGGTGGGAGAATCTGTTCCATGCCTTGAAAGGGGTGGGGCCTTGGGTGGAAGGGGCGGGGCTGCGGGTAGGCAGCCCTTAGTACTGCCCAGAGGGCACCGTGCCTCCCACAGACAGTCCTCAGTGATGCCCAGAGTGTGGCATGTGGCGCTCCAGCAGTGATTAAAAGGGCTTGGGGCTCCAGCCACTGCCACAGTAGCAGCTCGCAGCGGGGCGTGCCAGACCCTTTTGTATCACCAGGCCTTGGGGCAATTGCCCCTTTTGCCCCCCACCTATTGGCAGCCTGAGCCTAGGACAAAGGCCCTAGGGGAGATTGGGACTGGCTAGGCAAGAAGATTAGGAGAAGGAGCCTATGCTGTGGAGAGTAGCGCTGGGTAGGCAAGGAGACTGGCTGGGGATGAGAAGCCAGAGGGATATACACACAAGGGGACTGAATGAAGGCTGCCCTAATTCTGGCACTTCCTAACTGAGTATTTGACTTTGCAACCTTAATACTCTTTTAACTTTTTTCTAACGTTAGCAGGAGAAAGGTCATAAATCAGAAATATTGCTATTTCAATTCATACTAGTTATATCTGAAAGAAATATTCTGGATTAATTATTTAAACAAAAACATGTATAGCCAGTCCCATAATAATGCCTTACGTTATTTTGTTCCACACAATGTTATGCTAGAATTCTCACGACAGGATGCATCTGTTCAAACTACAATCCTTGATTCTTTACTTAACTAGTAATCAGGCACAAGTCCCATTAAAGCTAATGAAAATTTTACTTTGCAATAGAGCCCGGACTCAAAAATGGGCCTCATGTGGAATATGTGACATGTGACAAATGTTGCCTCTTTTCTTTTTTTTTTTTTTTTTTTTATGAAAGTTTCCCTTGACTCTAATAAAAAAGCACAGGAAGAGTACAACACTTTTTACCTATTCACAGTTTGTGGTAATGCAGTTTCTTTCAAACAAGTAACAGACAAAATGGGCTTTTATAGTATTGAGAGATTCACAAGGATAAATGTTGTCTTCCTAAATCCTAGTACATGTCTACTATCTTCCTAGAGACTGTGACACAAATGAGATTTGAGTTTGCCTTGTTTTTAGATTGAGCCCAAAGAAAATGTGCAGTGACACATGGATGTGTGCTGCCTCTTCGGGATCATGCACACTAATATAAACCTAGCAATTGAAGGAATAATTGTATAAAAGCTCAGGTTTATAGGGAATTCCATTGTGTTTCAATCTCTCCTGAATGTCGCATGCAGAGAGACTGATGTGATTTGCAGCCTTTTTTGTTTTGATGGACAGAGAGGAAGACCATAAGAAAGGGCGCGGCTCTTCGTCATCCTTGTATTGTGCAAGGTGGCTTCCTATTGTCATCATTTGGACTGTGCAATTACTCCAGCATGGGGTCAGTATTGTGCTTCTGCTGTCTGGAGCCTGCCCTTTATTTTGTGGATGGCTGCAATCTCTGCAAAATTAGTGCTCAGTGCCAGAACGGTTGGGATGGCGCATGTCCTGATGTATATGACAGGATACTAGATTTAGACACTAGTGTTTTGTGCTAGAGAGGCTCTAAATTAACCTCATCTTGTGGCACATGCACACCTTAAAACATCCAGTACCATATTTTCCATTAATTCTCCACACTGGTATTTTCCAAGCCATTTAAGAATAGGTAAAAAGAGTTAGTACTTTTAATTAATACTTTGTTAATACTGAGCTCTTGCTCAGACCCTGGCATCCAGATTCAGCTGCGGTTGAAACTGATCAGTTTCAGCAGCGGCTGACGCCAGTTCCGACTTACATACAGATTCAACTTAAGAACAAACCTACAGTCCCTATCTTGTACGTAACCCGGGGACTGCCTGTATATATTTTTCACGAGAAAGTGTCTTCAGACACCAACGCCCTTGATCACAGGAGGCAGGATTACCTGACACAGTGTGCTGTTGCAGAATTTGTCCCCAGGAACAGCAGAAACTGCTGCAAAAGTACTAGTGGCAAAGGGTGAAGGGGAATGAAATCGGCATTTCCTAGGTTCTTCAGTAAGCGCTAAACTAAAGAATGAGCAGACGTTTCCCTCTTTTTGCTTTGGATTATCACCTTTTTTCATGAGAAAACACCGGAACCAGACTATTGGCTCTGCTCCTGCCTGGAGAAGAAGATAGTCTGAGGTCCCTCCTAATGATCTAATCCTTTTCAAAATCAACAAGGTTCCTTACAGGTTGCTGCCTCTCTCTTCCTCTTAACTGCTGATGACGGGATGCCACACCCTGGGACATCCCATTGTTCCATTAGATTTGCACTTCCTCCTCCTATAAAAAAGTAAAATTGTAACACAATGTAACCTATGAACAATTCTTTGTGAACTGGCCAGAATTGGCCAGGAAGATGGGACCCTGACCTCAGCATTTTTTTATGGCTGTTAAAAGCTGGTGCCAGTGCAAGCTTCCCCACTCCATACCAGTCATGAGACTCTACCTTGCCCTTGACCAGCCTTTTTTAGAGGCCAATGGGCATAGCAATTGACAGCCCATCCCATGTTGTCCTTAGTCTCTCTATTAGAGGACAAACAAAGTAGGCTAGTTTGCAGTATCACAGAAAACTGCCCACTGGAAGCAGACTATCAGTTCATTTCAATACAGTCATCACATAGTCACTTACTGTCAGTCTGCCCTGGCTTTGAACTGGTTATCAAAAGGTAAAAGGCTCTGTATGGCATTATTGAATCACTTGGACCGCATAGCCTGCACTGGTAGCAGTTTTCAAAACTGAATATGCACGAAAGAACATACACTTTGAAAGCCTCCCTAAAGGACTTTGAGGGCTTGCCTCGGCAGGGAGATTTATCAGCACAATTTATCAGCTGTTATCTGTACATGGATAAAGTTATACCAGCATAACGTCTCAGCTGCACAGTTTTAGCCAAGAATAAGAGTGCCTTTTCCCAATTTATCTTATGTTACTTTTGCACGGATATAAGCTTCAAGCAGAAAAAGGCACTCATCCACAATAAAAGTCTTCATGTGGGGAGTTTCTCTGGTATAACTAAAGCAATAGCATTGACCAGAATACTGGTAAATTTCCCTGGGTAGAAAAGCCCATTATACAGGACCAACTTCCTAGACGTTTTGAATTTTGGGCCTCCATTGAAGGCTGTGCTGGAAGTGCAGATTCTTTGGTGTCTCTCAGAATTTCCTAGCTAGCTGACAATATCACCATTGTACCATGCAAACAGAGATGGAACAGTGTGAGTCTCATTTTTATTTATGTTTCTATTGCAGTTACCACAAGTTATCAGTGGCACCCAAGTTAGCTTAGCACAGGTGTGAGCCCCCCACATTGCAAAGACACTGTATCAAATCCTAGAGGGGGTAGCCAGGTTAGTCTATAACTCTGAATACGAGTAGTCCTGTGACACCTTAGAGGCTAACCAAAATATATAGAATCATGAGCTTCCATGGGCAAAACCCACTTCATCAAATGAAACTAGAGTGGAAATAACAGAAAACAAGAGATATGTACGACAGGTACTTCTTTGTCTGTCAATTGTAGGACCTGTGTCAATGAAGCCAATTAATCAGGCTGGATGTGGATTTCCACATCAAAAGCTACGTATAGGACACAGCCAGTCTACTTAATTAGCCTCCTTTACATGGGTCCTACAATTGACAGGTACTTCTGCTGTTATAGATATATCTTGGTTTCTGTTATCTCCACTCTAGTTCATCTGATGAAGAGGGTTTTTCCCATGAAAGCTCAAGATTCTATATATTTTGGTTAATCTCTAAGGCGCTACAGGACTACTTATTGTTTTCAAGTTACAGGGTTCTCAATGATTGTGGGGCAATTGCACATGGGAGTCACTATGACTTCTGTGTACAGTACATTTCATTTCTATGGCTTTTGGTGCTACTGTAAGTTAAACTGCTCTATGCTTCTTTCCTAGTGAAGTGTGAGAGAACTTGCCATCCCTCTGGGAAGACACTGATGGATTATGAGCTTTAGCTGGACTCCTCACTGCAAAGTCGGTAGGTTACCAGCCCAAATGAAAGCCTCACTCTGGCTTTGGCCTATACACCTGGCTACTGTAGTTGAAAGTGCTATCAAACATAAGAGGCTATTATGTGTGTGGATGGGAAAGGAAACAGGGCAAAAGCCTGGTTTAACTGCAGTGAAGGATCTGGAAGCTTACTGGATTTTTAGTGTAAATAAGAATCAGGTCTCATCTCTGGCTGCAAATGACTAGCCTCCTGCATTTCTAAAACATCACACAGGATTATATTTAACGGTGACACTAACATTGAATTAGTCAGCTTAACCCTGATTGTTACTTCAAAAACCTGGAAATTAGAGATACAGATGTCTGGAAATAGGAGTGGCATAGTGAGGAGATGCCGGGGGGAAGGGCAGTTGCCCCCGGGCGCCACACTGAGGGGGAGCGCCAATTTAGCTGCCAGGCCACTTGCTCCCTGCAGACAAGCCACTGAAGCAGGGCCGGGTGGTGGGAGCAAACACTTCAAAGGCCTGCCTGGGGGTCCCAGCACCCCTGGCTCGGGAGCCACTGCCGCCCCCGCTGCACAATTTAGTGCAGTTTTGCCTTTGCCTCTCCGGGCGCATAACACCCTAGCTACGCCACTGGGAAACAGTCTTTCTGGATGATCAGCTCCTTTTAATTTAAATAGTTTCTTGGCAAGAGCACAATTCATATTCAAAAGAGCATTTTATTGAATGTCACTAATGCTAATGCTTTGCACGTCTAAAGTGACTTTCATCTGAGGATATGAAAGTGCTTTTACAAACACTAATCAATCAAGCATCACAATACCCTTTTGAGGTACAGTTTATTGCCACCACTTTACAGAAGGGAAAACTGAGACACTGAGACGGTTATTTGCACAGGCCTATTCCTGGTGGAAGAACTCTGTTCAGTGTTAACAGTTAATTAACAAGCGAGCACATACACATTTTAAAAAATTCCTACAGGACTTCTTTTGTATTTCACTCTAGTGAACATAGGCTGGCTGTTGGTAATAAACATTCTCTCAGCCCCATAAATACAAACAGCACTTTGCAAAGCATTCATAGCTATAATAATATATATATATTATAGGTCTGTTGGGGTCACTGGGCATGATCCTAGGTAACTTGGAGGAGTGGAAGATCAAAAGAATTGATGAAGCGCCCCCGCTCTAGGCCCAAGCACCCTAAACCCCCCCCCTTCCGCCCCTTTCCCCCCCCCCCTCCCCAGGCATAACTTTTCTCTGGCTCGCTAATAGCTGGGAATGGCAAGACAGACCTTGAGGTTGCCTAGTTACTATCAGTGGTATAGAAAAAGAATTCAGATGTGTCTCTGTAGAGGGGAGGAGGAGAATAGGGCTGGCAACATGTCCCAGTGTGGGAATCTTGCTACAGTTCACTATTTTCCTGCAAGTAAACAACCTGGGTATATAAGAAGGGAAAACTGCTTACGTTGGTGTGCTTGATCTGAGATGTCTAGTCTCCTGGCACCTATTTGAGCGTTCAAATAAACTTTTTTTGCTTCTCCACACCGGTGTGTTTATTGGAGCGCGCACACCGGGCACCGAACCCAGCTGTTGCCCCCCTCGGGCACTCTGTGCCGGCAACAGTTCTGTCATACCCATGCACTCTCTCTCAGTATTCATTAACAGCCTAATCCCATAGACTTCAGTGAGCTTTGACTCAGGTCTTAAGAAATGTGGATCTGATGCTGAAGCAATGTTTAGCATTTTCCTAGCTATCTCCTGCATTTATATTACTATTAATTAAGAAAAAATATTCCATATTACAAAAAGTCATGGAACTGATCTTTAGAAAAAAAAACAAAAAAAAAACGAGAGATGAAATCAAGCCAGGAAGTTTGGTTTGGGAGCCTAACATCCTCCCAGTTTGAGAATGAACAAATTTAGAGTCCTGTGATGGGTCTGATTCTGTCTCTTTCTATAGGCTAATGTAAATGTAAAGAGGTCTTAAAATCAGTGAAAACGTATGCCCACTTTAAGGCCTCTTTACCCTATCAGAGCAGTGTAAAGGGTCTCGTTGTAAATGAGACTCAGACCCAAACTCTCAAGCTTTGAATACAAACTTCCTGCAGACACAGTAGGGTGTGTAATAGTCTCATTATATAGCTGTGATCAGATTGCACTATTTTGATTCAGAGCCAGATCTGAGTCTTGAGTGACTGGTTCTGGCATAGGCCTCTCTCTTAAAACACAAATAATAAAAAGAATTTTCCATAAAATTAAGGTTTTCATTTCCTTTCCTTTATCCATACCTCACTGTTCTTGCCTTATTAAAAATGGAATTTGTCTTAATCTCTACTCACCCCTGCTGACCGGGTCAGCCGTCTGCTACTTTTTCCATTAAAACTGCAAGTGGCTGAGTTTCTGACTCGCCTGGTTCCTGCATACAGCGTACCTGTTGATGAGAACAAAAATGATTTCCATATACTGATTTTACAAGGAAAAATATTGGATGTAATAAATTCAACATTTTCCTCTCATTTTATGGGAAAAAAATAAATATAAATCCATTGTCGTTAGACCTTCTGGTTCTGACTGAGAAGCAAATAATTCAATTTCCCAAGAAGTTGGTGAACATCAAGTAGTTGGCACTTATCTAAACTATTGTGCCCTTTTATGTTTGCAAAATTGAATTGAAGATCTTGTGAGAACAGCGTTTTTCATTTGTCCAAATCCTGATCTCATGGGAGTTCTGACATTAGTGTCAAGGTTTCACCTATGGTATTTTGTCATTTACTTCTGGTTCGGGTCAGAAACCAAAAGTAAAGATGTGGGAGAAAAGGAATAATTATGAGAAAATTTACTGATTTTTTTTTTTTTAACTCAAAAGAGGCTAATTTCAATGTGTTTGCAAAAATTTGGGAGCGTGGGGAGAAAGTGTTTATCTGAATCCATTCAACCACACATAGTGAGAACTTCCACTATCATTCTGGACTCTCAGCAGCTGAGTCTGTTTGCCAAGATCCAAACGTGGAACACAGAGTGAACTGTTAGCCAATACATATATGTTAGGCATAATGCACCACATTTAAAGGTATTACATACATTATATTAATATAATATACATATACATATTATGCCACTTGTTAGAAAATTATGTTAACTGAATTTATTATGCTCTGCCCACAACTCTGTTGTTCCATGTCAAATATCCCATAGCCCTTTGCAAATCTGAAGTCAGCTTTGGCATTAGAAAACAGGAAATTTGTCAAAAACAAAATACATTAATGTTCTGCCCCAGGACAAGCCAGGGAGATATCTTCATGGACCTGGATGCTAGCATCCAAAACAAAGATGAGGAAGGCACAGAACGGCAAGCTAAAGTCTGGTCTGAACCAGTGGGTTTAATTTAAGTGATACCTAAAGAGTTTTGTAATTGTAAAATCATCCTATAAATATTACTAGCTGAAATGCATATCTTTGAAGAATACCTGTGCTTGGTGAACATGCTGCAAGCATTTGCTTCCCCAAAGGAAGCTATGTCTCCTTACTGTTTTGTCTTTAGACAATACATTTAGCTAAGTTCAGATATTTTATCTCATGATAATTTTAAAGAATGAACTGTGAAATAGACAAACAATTGGCTACACCTTTCCATGAACAGAACCAAATAGCTAAGTTAAGACACCCATGACACACAATAGCTGAAGGTTGTAAAGAACATTATATTGGATTCTCAAAAAAAAAAAAAAAAAACACCTTAGCTTTTTGGTCTCTTTGTGTTCCTGTTTCTAATACTTAATGAGAGTAGCAGTGAGATAAATATTAAGTTTGTATGGGATGGAGGTCTGAGACAGAGTGTTAGGTAAGAAAGGCTAAGTTAGTATTCTGTTCATAGTAGCACCAATCAAGCAAAGCAGACTGCAGCTGACTAAACAAAGCTGTGTCTAATTTGTGGGTGGGATAGGGCAGAAAGCCTAATTAAGCCATTAGGCAGAACCCCAAAATAGGCAGAGGAAGGATATGGAAAGTGAGGAAGCAGGGAGCAAGGAGAGACTGATTGACTGACTAATTGATTGATCGATCTTCCTTGCTTGTTACATGAGTTTTATATATTACACAGGTCGTAGACATCCACTTGTAAATATCTGAGTACTTTGTGGACAGGGACAGAGGCAAGAGCCAGAATGCCCCTGTTACAAGACTATTGTGAATTGCACCAGTGGCTTGTTTAAAACAGACTTAACAGAGTAATGAAGGACCACTAATATTTTCCTGGGCAGAGAACTGTAGCGATATATTGACGATAGGAAGTGATGCGTTATTTCATCTGTTACAATAGTTAAACATTGGCCAGGAGTTTATTTGCATAATAAAAATTGTTTTTATAAAGAAAAGCTGGATGGGACATTTGCATAATATGATTTGAGATGTATTGTAGGCCCCTCCTATTGCCCTTTTGCATAGAATAGGCCATTTTTTACTCACCTATTTCTAGAACTTTCTGGAAGAGAACCTCCCAGTGGGAGAAAAGGGCTAACAAGGAATGTGTCCCCTTCAGAATAGGTGCCACAAACCCGTGACCTTGATCACCCAAGGACAGAGCTGTTGATCCAGGGCCAGGAAAAGGGTTCTCAAAATTTTGTGCTGGCAGCCCCTTTCACACAGCAAGCCTATGAGTGTGAATCCCCATTATAAATAAAAACAATTTTTTTTATATTTAGCTCTATTATAAATGGTAGAGGTGAAGTGGGGTTTGGTTTTTGAGTATTCAGCTTCAGGCAAAACAGAAGCTGGATGGTTTCTCTTTGAACAGGGGTCCTGACAGAGCAGCTCCCTTCTTCTCTTCCTCCTCAAAAGCAAAGATAAATCTTTGAATCATTCACAGCATCATTTAATCATAATTTTGTGTTCTTTGATCCTGGGAGGGAATCATAAGTCCAGAACAGAGCTGTGATGATTTACATCACCTGAAGATCTAGCCCAAAGTTCCCTGTAAGCTGTGTGCTTGTGCGGCCACTCAGGAGAGAGTCAAGTGTCACCAAGCTGATTAGCAGAGCATCCACAGGTAGCTTTTTATTTCTACTTGGTGCACATAAAAATGTATTCTGCACATGGATGGAAGAAATCTGTACATGGATAGAAAAGATTAGAAAGAACATTGCTAAAGTCTCTGAATTTTTTCTTAATGTTCTTAATTTCTGTATTTTTAAACTTCTTATCTCACTTAATGTTCAGAATTACTCCTTTTTAATTTTTTCCAAGGTTTTCCTCTATCCTGAAACAAGATCAAAGGGCCCTGCTTTTACTGGTACACCAAGGATATGCAAATACAAATGGTTTAAGCCCCTTATAAGCAATAAGTAATAAAGAGACTGGATATTTTTAAAAAATGGACAGACTTGCAATTTCCTAGCAGGCAGGTGGACACACTGGCAAGTCATTAGATAGCAAAGTTGAGATAGTGGAATTTATAAAATCTGGATTCTATTGCATTTGCAAAACAGCCTCTTTGGTGCCTAGTAAATGAAATTGCACTTTTTTATAGTATGCTGCCAGATTTATGGGCCTCTGTCTTCCTTAGCACCACAGTGAGATTTTGTGTTTGAATTCTGAGGTGATTGGTTTGAAAGAGGTGGGACAGTTTCATTTGAAGAGACACTTTAAGGTTCTGGAGGTTGGAAGTCTGTCTTCAAAGAAGTAGAGATGACAGAGAAGGCAGGCTTTCGAAACACAAGTTAAGGTGCAGAATGGCTGTCAGTCACATTGAGTGATAGCATTTTGGAAAAATAAGGGTGCTGTAGGTCATGACTTGATGGCAAGAGGAATATTTGATCTGGTATAGTCAATTATTCTGTTTGAGAAAACAGTTGCATTTCTTTTCCTCACATGGTTGCCATAATCGCTTGTTTAACCTACACACTGTCATTATATATGTGCCTCTAGTACAGTTTATTCCAAAAGCACAACAGTGTATTTATATAAATCTCATTTATAAGGGCACATTTTATCACACAGCCCTGTCTGCCACATATCAGCATCCTGACAATCAAAGGTGAGTATGATTCTGCAGCCGCTACTTTCTCATTTTAACTAGAACGTCTATAAGCAGTCCCACTGTGACTCCAAAAGTCAGTGGGGTGTGTCTACACAGCACCCTTAGCTCAAAATAGCTTATTTCATAATTTGGCTTTGTCTATATAGTGCCAAATTTCGAAATAATTCGCTATTTCAAAATTCCCCTTAACCCTCGTGGAACAAGGGTTACTGGGACATCGGAATAAGCCACCCGTTATTTTGAAATAATGGACTGCTTCAATAGACGCGGACTAGCACTGTGACAGCTTCTTCTTAATCTTTCCCTGTAAATCAATCTCTTCATACTCTTACTTACTTTGACATGCTTCTCTGAATTCTTTCCAGTTTGTCCACAGTTTCATGGGTTTGAAGTACCAGCGTTAAACACAGGATTTTCACCAATACTTAATGAGCAATTCCTAGTCAAGACAAGCATCTTTCTCTCGCACTGACTCTTGATAATATGATTTATTTTCTAAAAAGAATCAATTTGCACAGCACAGAACTCATACACAACAACCACCTCATGTAACACTTATTTTTAAACCCTGTACATGCAGGAAGGGTGTGATATGAGTGATAACATATATGCAATACTAATGAAGAACTAGTGATCTTTTTCTTTGTACAAATTTCAATACATCTCTGCCTTGTGAAAACATTAGCTTGCACGTTGAACCTTCTACGGTGACTACTCTCCTACTCACCTGGTGGAGGGTCAGGTTTTGCTGACTGACACCTGGACTGTCTGCATAGACTGCTGCCATCGTTGCCCATGGTTAATGGTCTGAGCAGAGAAAAGTGAGGGTGTGTGGGAGAGGCTGGACTTCGGCACCAAGAATTTTGAATAGGAAACAGGGTTGCTGGGATCTTTTTTTCTCTGTAAAACAGACATACAAATGGTTTTATTGTGTATATTGTATGTATCTATTGATGCAGATACATAGGATACATATATTGTACATAAGTTGTATTATATAGATGGTGGAGCAGTCGCAGTATCTATATTAAGGCTGTGTAACACTTTGTTATAATCCTTTATTTACAGTTGTTTATAATTTTGCCCAACTTAAAGCCTTTTCGGATGAAAAAATTTCCTTGCCTATTCTCTGCTTGAAGTTGAATTTCTTTGGAAATTTAAACATGATCTGTTCAACTATTCCCAAGAACACGGTTAGTGAACATTAGGCAGCTTGGCCAATGTTAAAATTTTTTGAACTGTCTTATGAATAGCTTTCGCCATGATTTGGAACAGAAGGTTGAAATTTGGCAAATGAATAATCCTTGTGGTAGAGAGGGGCCTTTTACTGTCCTAATTAAAATCTGACAAGGTTTGGCTAAAGTATAAGCCACAGAAAATTGCCACTGGGACTTGTGCAGTAGGACACATTTATCCCTTTTCCTTTGAATTTCATGCTATTTCAAAGGTATTACACGTATTCCATTCTTCAGTGAGCATGCTGCAAGTATCCGATAACTAAATCTCTGGTGACATAGACAAAAATTGCCCAAGCTGTTTTCCCCCTTCATAATACCCTAAGGCTCAGATTAAGGTGCCTTGGGCCGACACAGGAGACTATGAATCTTAGACCCACATTTTCACAAACTAGTGCGAACAATTATTAGTGTGAACAATTCTATGACCACCACAACCTTTAGACTATAAGCTCTTTGGGGCAGGAATTGCATCTTTTCTGTCTGGATGTTGTGTGGCACACTTTTGGATGCTCAGTTAGGGCATGTCTACACTACACATACGATTGAAGGAGCCCCAGTCAATCTTCCAGGGTTTGAATTATAAGTGAAGAGATGCTAATTCAAACTCAGAAAGAAGCTCTGATCGATGCCAGTAGTCCTGATTCTATGAGGTGTAAGGGAAGTCAAAGGGAGAATATGCTCCCTTCGACTTCCCACAGTGTGGACAGCACCAAAATTTGAGTAAGGGAATTCAACTTCAGCTACGCAATTAATGTAGCTGAAGTTGCGTATCTTAATTCAACCTTGTCCCTTAGTGTAGACCAGGGATTAGTGACTAACATATAATGAGGCTCTCTTACAAAATGTCCGTTATTTCGTTGCTGAAAGTACTGCTTTCTAGTTGGAACCTAACACAGTCTTGTTTGAATTTTGTATGAAGGTTCTGGTCAGTTCTTATTTTATCCCACTCATTTTTATCGAATCCTGGTGACAACTTTCTTTGCCCTGCTTCCACATCCTGCCAGGAATAGTGCCATATCATAATGATGGAGTACACTTAACAGAGGGATGGCTACCTTTTAATGAAAACTGATCCTCTTTCCTCTGTTTGACCTTGGACAGCCCCTTCCTGTACAGTATTAATTATCAAAGACTCTGGTTCCTTTACCCATCTGTCTCTCTGCACTTTTGCTGGTATAGTTGGCTTTCTGTTGCGGTTAAGGTTTGCATCATCTTTTTGCTCTTCCCAACCTGGCTTTCTGTTCCAGTGAATAGGTGTGTACCAAGCAACAGCCTGAAGAAAAAAAAAACACTATTCATTTAATTACTTCATTTAACCATTAAGTTTATTGTTTGTTACATAAGGAATGGTGGTGTATGTGGGAGAAGGAAGTGGCAAGCGGGTATGGGAGGTAAAGGTTCTAAGATATATCTGAGCTGACTATAATTCCAAGGTGTGACCCAGAAAATAATGGTGAAGCATCAAATGACTGTCACTGCATTTACTCTTTGAAAAGCCATGTTCAGTTCTTAAAATTATTGGGTGACTTCATAATGTAACAGCTTGCTCAATTCAACAGCTTGACTTACATTAGACATTTTGATATTACCAAAGCAATGGCAAGTTTGGCCAAACTAAGGAAAAAGTGAGGGGAAAACAATATACAAAATTGAATCAAAACCCGTTATATATATATATATATATATATATATATATATATATATATATATATATATATATATATATATATATATATATATATATATATATATATATATATATATATATATATATATATATATATATATATATATATATATATATATATATATATATATATATATATATATATATATATATATATATATATATATATATATATATATAAAAAAGACACACAGGACACTTGTTATGGTTTCTTTTCAGGCTGGAAATGGCCAAAAAAATCATTGCCACTGGATTATTTTTAGAGGAGGGCTACACAGCAAAGAAAATGAAGTTATTCACTTTGTGCAGTAATGATGGTTCTTAAAGATGGGTGCCCTTCTGGGTGCACCACTCAGATGTCAGTACATCCTTGTGCCAGTGATCAGAGATTTTTAGCCTAGCAGTGCCTTCCTGTTCCACACATGTGCAGCAGCCATCTTGCGCTGTTTTCATCTGTTAGCTGAGCACACGGCGTGGTTTTCCCTTCATTCCTTTTCTACCAGAAATCCTATAACAGACTCCAAAGTAGAGGGGAGGAAGGGAAGGTCATGGAGTACCCACAAGGGCACACATCTTGAAGAACCATCATTACTGCACAAAGTAACTTCTTCTCCTTCGAGTGGTGTCCTTTTGGGTGCTCTACTCAGGTAACTAAAAAGCAGTACCCACAGCTGTGGAGGTGGGTCTTTGGAGTCATTTACTGAAAGAAGAAAGGCCGGCATCACCATGGAAGTGGTAGGTAGGTAGGTAGTGATCCTTGCTGTAAAGCATAATGTTGAGCAAAAATATGTGAGGAAGACCAGGTAGCTGCCATGGAGAAGTCAGCCAGTGGGACGTTGTTTAGCAAGGCAGTCAATTCCACACTCTGGTGGAATGTGCAGTGACAGCCTGCAGTGGCTCTTTGTTTCAGAGTCTGTAGCGGGAATGTATGCAAGTTGATATCTACCTGGATATGCTTTGTGCGGAGATGGCTGTTCCCTTGCCGGGACCAGATATAACTATAAAAAGTCTACTAGATTTTCTGACAGGCTTAGTCCAACCTATGTAAATGACCCTTCTTGTATCGAGGGTATGTAATATCATTTATTAGAAGACCCAGGTGAGATCAAATGTCTTAGGTAACGTGTCATGATTATTGTGTGTTGTTGTGAAGACTCCTAGATTAAGCAATCATCAAGGTATGGGAATATGATAACACCCTGCTTTCTGAGGAAGGCCGTGACTATGGTCAATTTCTTGGAAAACATGTGTCGTGCTGTCATTAGCCCAAGGGGAGGATACTGTATGGGTAATGTTCTTTGCCCACCATGAACCAGAGGAACCTCCTGTGGGAAGGATGTATTCTTATATGAAAATACAAGTCTTGGAGGTCGAGGGATGAGAACCAGTTCCTCTCATCCAGTGTCAGAATAATGGTTCCCAAGATCACCATCCTGAAACTTGTTGTTGTGTATGAAGTGGGGGCGGCGTGTGCCCCTTTGTGAGTGCTGATGTTACCAGTGCCGGGGCGGTGCCCTTTCTCTTAGGTTTCAGAGCCTTTCATTGGTGCCATCTTCCGTTTTTGTGCTTTGCTAAAGGTTGACAGCACCGGAGAGTGTGCAGCACACAATGTTGACGGCGTAACCAGTAAGGACTGTGCTTGGGAGGCTCAGGATTTACAAGAGTCCCGTACAGCAGATGAACTGGCCCTTTTTCTCAGAGCTGCAGGTTCCGAGGGAGCCATTGGGTACGTCTAGACTACATGCCTCTGTCGCCAGAGGCATGTAGATTAGGCTACCAGACATAGTAAAATGAAGCGGCGATTTAAATAATCGCCGCTTCATTTAAATTTACAATCTCCTAATCATTTTGTTTTCCTCCACTGGACTCTCTTGTCTTACTATCTGCACTCTGATTTTTGGGCCTTTAGGGTTTGTGGTTTTAAGCTTCCCTCTGCCACTAAAAGAGCTCAGCGCGCTAGTCTGGACGCTCCCGCACCGACCTGAAAGCCTTTTATCGACCTCCCCGTTATGCCTTGTAGGATGAGGTTTACCGGGGAGGTTGATAAAAGGCTTTCATGTCGACAGAGGAGTGTCCAGACTAGCGCACTGAGCCGACGAACAGCTGATCAGCTGTTTGTCGGCTCAGCATGGCAACCATGTAAATTTAAATGAAGCGGCGATTATTTAAATCGCCGCTTCATTTTACTATGTCTGGTAGCCTAATCTACATGCCTCTGGCGACAGAGGCATGTAGTCTAGACGTACCCTTTGTCTATGCTCCTGGTAGTTGGAGAGAATTCTACCAGAGTAGATTTTTAAGTCTCATCTCCGGGTCTTTCCTAGCCCTGGTGGTCATACTCTGGCAATGTGGTGGCCACTTCTGCTCCACAAGGCCTTCGCTTAGGCACTTTATACATGAGGCGTGCCTATCTGAAGCGGGCACTAAGTCTCTGCAGGAGTCGCATTTTTTTAAACCCAGGAGAACCTGGCATACTGTTAGATTGGGACAAAGAACTTAGAGCAAGGAAAAGAAGGAAAAACCAGGGAGTAAGGTGTTGGGGTTTTTTGGTTTTTTTTAACAGAGAACACTATTCAAACACTAGAAATCTATGATCAACTGATTTTTTAAGCTTTTTTCAGTGAGGAGAGCACTGCCATGGACGGTAGAAAAGGCACTGAGGGGCACCCGTGCCACACACACAGCAAACAGACAAAAACAGAGCAGGTCAAAGTACGTAGATTTCACCCTTAACTTACATTAAATAGACACGTTTTGTTCTGGAAAACTGGGCCAGTCTCCTCTGTTGTAGTCTTTGGTCTTTTGAGTCTGTCCTGGCTGCTTGCAGTATAGGTGGGGGCAGGAGAAAAGTGAAGCATAGACCCCCTGTGTTCTGTTTTATAGCCTTAGTTCATACACTGGGAGAAAACAAGTCCAGGCACGTCTGGTGGGCATTGCTGAGTCCGCAGTCGGTGCTGAGCAATCCCCCTAGTGTGGCCTTATGCAGACAAGTCACTGAATTATATTTCTCTTGTAGGACAATGGCTACTGATGGTTATTTGACACTCACCTAGGTAGTGGTTAATTTCTTTGCTGTTGTCTCTGGGGAGCTAGTATCAGACGGATTCCCCACCTTATTGCATGTTTAACTGACAACACTATTACACAACTTCATATGCACTAATGAATATATATTTACATAGAATAGTGACTTTCACCAGATCATAACCTTTCCCTGATACCTTACATAGCATGCTTCATATGCAAGTTCACAATCCTATATACATGGGGGAAATGGGGGTTACAGGATGCTTCCCCAAGGTACAGAATGTCCAAGCATGCTGTACCCATTCCATGAATAATAGACCTTTGTACTGCAACGCTGTCAGTCTCTAGTCCCCTTCTTTATTCCTTGATGGCAAGTAGTTAACTTTTAAACTCAAGCAAAGTTCATAGCTAGGATTTACCACATGATTTGCTTAGTAAGGGCCCGTGTGCTTGATAATGTGAAGTGTTCAAGCTAGCACATAAGCACATTTACCTTTAAGCACATGAAGAGACCCATTACTGTCAACAGGATCTAGCACTAGGGGAAAGCCTTTTTCCAGCCCCACTTACAAAGCGTAAGTATTCAATGCCACATATTCAGTGCACCTGGAGCATTTGGTTTGTTAAGCTTCAAGACTCCACGGACCAATACACCTGCTTGTGGGCCCCTTCCTGGGTTATTTATTTGCCAAAACTCTGCATGCCACTGCTACGCTTTACAGTTATCCTTATAGTCAGCCATCATTTTAAGAAGGACAAGTAGAGGAATTTAGCAATTCTATTAAGTATACATCAGACAGTTAATAAGAATTAGAACACTCACTTGACCATTAGGTTCACAAAGAATGGTAGTGCACTCCGGGCCTGTATTACATCTATCTTGCTCCTTCCAAAGGAAATCTGATGGAGGCTTAGGAAGCACTTTAGCATCTGCTGTCCATACCTGCAATAATTCAAAGTGATCAGATACAGAGAAGATGATCCTTGGGTGTTTACGAAGTGTGTAGACTCAGTAAAAAGCAGGAGCTTTCTCTCTCAATGCTTTTATCCATGAAATCAAAGCTATACGGACTGTCTCAATGGCTTGGTTATTCTTATTAACATCAAGAACTGCTCTAGTGGATTAACAGAGATAAATATGAGGGTATATTTTCAGGAACTAATCTTAGGCTACGTCAAGACTACATCCCTCTGTCGGTAGAGGGATGAAAATGAAGCACTTCAAAAGTGCAAATGAAGTCAGGATTTGAATTTCCCGTGCTTCATTTGCATAATCACGTAATGGCACTCTTTTGAAAAAGCTCTATTTCGAAATTGAAACCGCAGTCTAAACACGGTTCTTTTGAAAATGGGGTGCTTTTTCAAAAGAGCCTGTAAACCTTAGTTTGGAGGAGGCTAGCCAACGTTGCTGAGGGTCAGATTAACAATAGGTGGTTTTTCTCATTTATGCTGGGTATTTTAAAAAGTCTGCAACATAGGCTTTAGAATCTCCATCCATGTTTGTTTCTGGAGCCTCCCAGTGCAGGAATAGGTAAATCCAGTTGAGCAACAGTATTTTTTTTCCTCCTTAGATTTATAGAGGAGACACTAATAACATCATGCTCTACAAACTGGATGCAATTACCCCAGGATTTGTGGCCTCAATCACAGTTGAAGCAGCATCAGGAACCAAGACGAAAACATTTTTCCTGTGTAAATTGATCCTAACTTACTTTTGCAAGCAGCATTTCTAAAGGACTGGCCTACAGATCCAGGGTTTCATTTCAGAACATCCCTTTGTACTGAACACGATGCTGCAGCATGGAGAGATGGTACAGAAGCAATGCTTAGATGGGACAATGAGATATGGGGAACATTCTTCATGTTATCAGGTCAAAATCTTCAAAGTGTCTGCAGAATTTAGAAAGTTGGGTTCATTAAGGCACACAAGTAAAAAAAGTGCCTTGATTTTCAAAGGTGCTGAGTTCTAGTAGCTCCTGTAGAATTCAGTGGGATTTGGGGCTTCTCAGGCATCTAAAAGGATGGATTTCTGAGCCTGACGTCAAGCATTTAGGTTTGAAATTTTGACCAGTAGATGAAGAGTAGCTCATTTACAAAAGGTAAATTCTAAGCTATCCCCTCTGGGTTCATTCGGCATATTCCTCTTCTGTACTCACAGTTACAGCAGAATTGGCTTTCATTCTGATCCTTGGTGGAAATCTAAATACAGCTACTGGATGGCCATTGATATTTTGCTGGAGTATATACTCCCCAATACTCTCCTCTTTATCAGGGGAACAGTTAAGGATCTTCACAAAATAACCACCTGAATGAACTTCAGCAATTCTTAAATTGCCAGTAGCACTAAAAATAAAAGTAGAATCAAGGGTTTAAAGGCATTCCACAAACAAAATACATATGCCTTTAATGATAACAACTTGGCCCGATGCTTGCATAATAAACATACTCTATGCAGACCATTTACATAAGTAATAATCTGCACTTTAAATAGCCCCTTTCATCTGAAAAACTGTTTGTGTGTGTTTTACATATGTCAACACACAATATTTGTATCATGTATTTTTTGGCCCACATTACATCAGAAGTTAACTTGCGCTTTTAAAAATGTAATCATCATCACAGTTTGCTATTTGTGTATTTTCTAAATGCATGTAAGTTAACATTTTAAGGCTGACCACATGAGGTGGCCATTACAATTCATTGGAGTTGTGTGGCTAAATTCCTTTGAGAGTTTTGAAATGCAGCTATACAGAAATATTTAAATGTACATACACCCCATTTCATGTCTATTCAGAGTATGTTCTATAATACAATTATAAATCAACAGATTGGCATTACGATTGTGCATTACAGTGTAATTTTATTTGATGGGAATATCAAATTGATAGGAATATAGGGGCATGTCTACACTGCCACCCTAGTTTGAACTAGGGTGGCTAATGTAGGCATCCGAACTTGCAAATGAAGCCCGGGATCTAAATATCCCGGGCTTCATTTGCATGTTCCCAGGCGGGCACCATTTTTAAATGCCCGTAGTTCGAGCTACACGCGGCATGGACTAGGTAGTTCGAATTAAAGCTCTTAATTCTAACTACCGTTATTCCTCCTGCAAGGAGGTTTAAAGGTAGTTCGAATTAGGAGTTTTAATTCAAACTACCTAGTCCGTGCCGTGTGTAGCCGCGGGCAGGTAGTTCCAACTACGGGCATTTAAAAATGGCACCCGCCCGGGAACAGGCAAATGAATCCCAGAAGACTCTAAGGTGCTAAGGACTACTTTCTGTTTCTTTAAACCTATGTCTTGCAGAGAATACCTTGGGCCCTGCACTTTCAGGGCCCTGCACTTTTGGGGCCCCAGCCTGCTGAGTATTCACAATCCACTGACCAGCCCTAGGGCCCCATTCCCAGCATCCTGCTTTGGGCCCTGCAAACCCTTTGGCCGGGCCTGCACACAAGCTGGTAGCACTCACTGAGTAGTCCAAAGCAGAGTGAAGCCCAGTTGTACAGATGATTTGTACAGAGTTTCTGTTCCTCCTGACTTAAGCAGGGGAAGTGAGACCATCAGGAGTTTCGATATGCCACCAATCGAGGCCCAGGGAAGATGCCTCCTATTTGAACTGGACTTCCTATCAAATTGATAGGAATATAGAGGCATGTCTACACTGCCACCCTAGTTCGAACTAGGGTGTCTAATGTAGGCATCCGAACTTGCAAATGAAGCCCGGGATCTAAATATCCCGTGCTTCATTTGCATGTTACCAGGCAGGCACCATTTTTAAATGCCCGTAGTTCGAGCTACACGCGGCGCGGACTAGGTAGTTCGAATTAAAGCTCTTAATTCTAACTACCGTTATTCCTCCACGAGGAGTAATGGTAGTTCGAATTAGAGAGCCTAATTCGAACAACCTACTCCGTGCCGCGTGTAGCCGCGGGCACGGAGTCCGCACTAACGGGGATTTAAAAATGGCGGCGCCTGGCAAGATGCAAATGAAGCCTGGGATATTTAAATCCCGGGCTTTATTTGCAACTTGGAATGCCTACATTAGCCTCCCTAGTTCGAACTAGGGTGGCAGTGTAGATATACCCTAAGTTACTAAGGACTACTTTCTGTTCCTTTAAACCTTTTGACATTTTCCTATGTCTTGCAGAGACTACCTGGGCCAAGTGCTGGTTAAGTCTCATGTAATGGAGACATTGTAGAGAACCATAAAGGCACAGCATTCTCTGCCCTTCAAAGTATGCTGAAGGGACGCTCCCCCTAAAAACACAATTGCAGAGTCCCACTGCTAAAACAAATGAAATTGTTAGAAATCTGATGGCTTAACAATGCACCTATTTCTGGATGCAGAAGAGTTGTAGTCTTTAGTGGCTGAAGGTGTTCTCAGTCTCTCCCAGGGTCCAGGGTGTTGGGCATTCTTCTCTGAGTCAGTAAACAAAGAGATGAAATAGTCCTGACCTTGCCCTAATGTATTTGGGTCAAGGCTGAGGGACCACTTTGGTGACTCAATATTGGCACTGCCCTGAGCTGTTGAACAAGCAAGAAAGAGGAGGGGGATGGGAGGAAGATAGAAGTTACAAAACAACAAAATAAAAAAGAAGCCAATTTTTTTGTCTTTTTTCGTTATAAAATTTACATAACCTCATTTCCTTCTTCTCCCTCCCCCCAGAGTTGTTAATGTAAAACGGTGCTCAGTGAGCCTCTCTGAGGAAGCTTTAAACCCATGCTATAAACTGGGACACAGCTGGCAAAGTGAATATTTTGTTAGTGACATGTTGATTTATTCCCTTGGTGGAATTACCTTGGGTAGCTAAAACTCAACAAATTATGCCACTGGCAATATAAATGTCATGCTGCAATTTCAGTGCCACTATAAGGAATAGCATCAGCTGCGAGTTGGTACTGAACATTTTGAGTCTCTCTACCACTTACAGGATAAATGTGATAATATCCTCTTCCCCTCTTTGGATGTTTCTTTTTTCTGGCAAAAGACTCCAAAAAGGTGTGTCCATGCACCACGTGTGCTCCCTCAGCCACACTGAGGTTTTAGGACCTGGGACAGGGAGAAGTGAATACTGCCGGTGGACCCTTTCTTCATCCCCTGCTCTGCCATTGAAGCCTCACCAAAACCAGCTTCCCTCGGTTCTTGTCAGTTCTTGTGACTTGGTGTTGCTTTTCAGACCTCTCCCAATTCTGGATCCCAAAGAGATGGTTTGGGGGCGCTCGCTCAGGTGGACTATTTCTATGTAGCTCCTATCAGGTGTAGAGCAGCCACAACTCTCATTGATTTCTGTGGGTGTTAAAGATTTTTATTACCTGACAGGACATGCTCTGTATTCATGGGAGCTGACCTTTAGATGGCTAAAACTCAAATCCTTCTTGATTGAGAGAGTAATACTGTTGCACAAATTAGCCTCTCCATTGTATTAGGAATGCTGGCTTCAGTCAGGCATGTTGATTTGCTTTATCCAGTGGGATTTTCTGGTTGTAAACACAAGATGTTTTGAGTTTCTATTTTTTCCATCTGATAGTGCATCATACCAAAGCAGTGACACACAGCAGGCCCCTATTTCAATGTCTTGTTTGTAGTAGCCTGCCTTGAGACTCCCTTTGGTAAGTGTTCAGATAAACCAGCAATTCCAATTGTTGGACAATGAAACGAGGTCTCCTCATCTTGGCAAGTGGAGAATTAGTTGCATGCAGCCAAATGTAATAACATGTGATCAATAAAGAGGGTAAAAGCTATGGCACAGTGGCCTAAACAGAAAGCCATGGCAGATGTGCAGCTTAACTGAGTGTTAATTTTGCAGAGGATGAGTCTAACGAGGTGGCACAGAGGACTTGTGTTTAGGGATTGGTTGGAGAAGAAATAGGGCAAAGGCCAATGAGCTCAATAATCAGGAAGTTAGATGCGTCATTGGGCTCTTGTTGTTCTGTGCTTGCCAGAGGCTCTGTTAGATCAAATATTCAGAGTGGCAGCAGAATGGGCACACTGTTGAAGCTGACTTTTAGTGATGTGTTAATAAGTCCATTTGTTTCTTGGCACACATTGGTGCTGGCTTCTTCCATACCACTAAATGTAGAGGGGGATAAGATTGGGGTTTTAAAAGGGGATTAAGGGAGTTAGGCACCCAAATCCCACTGAAATTCAATAGGATTCATAGCCTAAAGTAAGGTACCTAGCCACAAGCCCAAAGTAGGGGAAGATGCAGATTTGCACTCTCGATGAGGAGGTTGAGGGACGCTGCCCCATAGGCAGACAGTCTTCCCCTATACTGTGTCCTGCACATTTGCATTAGCCATTAGGCTGACGTAGACTGCTCTCCACAGCATACTGGCTCCATCATGTAGGCTAGTGTGGTGGCGTGGTTGGGCCATGGTCCTGGGCCCTTCTTCCCACTCTCACTTCCCTTGTGGTGACAAGAATGAGCTTACCTGGGCCCACTGTTATGTACTTCTCTCAAGGGCAGCACACAATTTGACCCTATGTAAAATGTTGCAGTTTATATAAAAAAGCATGCAGCTTGCAAATACACAAATCTGGAAGAATTGGGAGAATCTGGAATTGGTATTTGAGTAGTGGTGGTCAGTACAGAACAGGCAAGGAGTTATAACTAGGACTGGTCCAGCATTTTTCATCAAAATTTTTTTGCATAAAAGTTTTGATATTGCTGAAAATTTTTTTTGTTTTGTTTTGTTTTTTTATTGGGAAATTCCAAACCAGGCCAATCCAAATCAAAATATTTTGGCTTATCACACTGAATCAAACTATTTCATTTCAGCTCAGTTTGACATTACTAGGCTGCCACCCAAGGCAGTTGTGCCTCATGCCCCCATGTTTTCCTATGGCTAGGCAGCCTAGTTGGACTACATCTCCCTTGATGCACTGCTATCTCCCCTGTTGCTGAAATGTCACCAGGCATCATGGAAGTTCTACCATCACCATGCATTATGGGAAATGTAGTCTGGCTGGGGACCCTGAGCCATAGAGGACAGTGGCAACATTGGGCACCTGAAACACAATTCCCAGGAGGCACTGTGGAAGCTAAAATACTGAAAATTTTCACTGAATAATGAATTCTGTAAATGTTGATGTTGCATTTTCACTGAAACTTTTGAACAGTCCTGAATCTACACATTTCATTTTGGTTTATCAGACGGACTCAAAATATGTATGTTTGGCTTGCTTTGACATTGAACGGATCCAGCTCAAATAAAATAGTAATTCTCTCCATAATTTTAAGATGCCCTTAGCCACCAATGTAATAAAAAACCCCTTCTGATTAATCCTACCTAGAGGCAAGGAAAAAGATTGCTTAGTTTGAAAGTTCTAATAGCTGCAATGCTTGGAGGGAAATCACTCCAACCGTAGTAAAAAATCATCATGGGGCACAGTTTAAATATTGAGCATACGCAACCCTGCAATCTTCTGTCCTAGATATGAGTTGTAGAAGAGTTTTTGAAGGCTTACCTAAAACTCTCTTTTGTGTAGTCTTATTTGCTCCAGCGGATTTGGCGAGTCTGGGTGCTGTTGTGATTCTACTTGTCAAAGTAGCCGCAGAAGCAAGCTGAAATGACTGTGGGGAGAATTCATTAGCTGCAGGTTGGGGTGAATCATTTTTCTTGGAACCTGAAGTATCAGGGGAGTGGTCCAAGTATAACAGTTCCGGGACCAGATGGAAATGTGTTACTTCCGTACTGTATTAAAAACAATGAAATTACATTCATTTACAAAAGGACCATTAACACTTTTAATACTCAAGGCCTCTGTATATAGTGTATACACAGGGCTGGTGGGACGTAAATGAGGGCAGAATCTGGGCTAGGTACCAGAACCCTCAATATCAACCAACAGAATAACGTCCAACCCTTCCCCCTTTTGATCTGATTACTACTAGCCGATTATTGTTACAGTTATTTCTTGACTTTCATTAGCCTCTTACATTTTGCACAAGCTATCCAAAACATCCACAAAGCACAACCTTCCCACCCAGGGCAATATGGTCACACACCTGACACATGTAATACCCCTTGGGGCTAAGTCTGCTGTTACAACCTGACAGAGCCCCCCTCCCCCCAGATGAATACTGATACATTGTAATGGGATCTAACCACTAAATCCCACTAAAACCCATGGGGTCTGGATAGTGACTGGCCAGTATTCCTAGCTCTGGATTTCTCAGGCATACTGTCAGATTCAGATTGTGTGTCTGACACCTTTCTTGGACAGCAGTACCTTGCGGTCCCTCTTAGACTCTAGAACCAAAGCCACAGCCTTTCTGGGTCCCAAGTCACTTAGGATAGCTCTGCATTTCAATAAAAACATGGCAATGAGTCTCAGACCCCAGGTCAATTGACTTGGCTTTGCAGGGTTTGGGATGAGGGGGAAAAAATTGTAATGTAGAGACAAGCTTGGGCTGGAGCCCATGTTCTGAGACTCTTGGATACCAGTGTGAGCCCAAACATGTACCCTGCAATGGTCACCTCTGAAAGTCCAAGTCAGCTGATCTAAGTCAGCTGTGGCCATGCTACATGGGTGTTTTATTGAAGTGTAGAGGTACCATAGATACACTGCCCTCCAGAATGACTATGGGAGCTCCACTTTCTAGTTAACACTTTCAGAGACCTCATGACAATAAAGCAAGGAAATAGGCTCAGCAAAGGAATTTCTTAAACACACACGCACACACACACAACTTTTAAAAGCACAAAAGAATTATGAATCCATGGAAACAATAGCTCCTCGTCCCAATCCCTCTAGTCTGATCTCCCCCCCTTTTGTGAATGCATGGATTTTGGTCCAAGTCCTTCAGGGAAGCGCAGTAAATTTGGCTCCACTCCTCTTTTTGGATAATCTTAGCCAATGAAAAGACTTCCTTTGTTTAGGAAGCAGTTACTATTAAAAAAAAAAAGACTAGTAATTTTTTGCAAGGTGGAGAAACTGCAGCTCTCCTAAGCATGGATATAGGCAGCAAAAGCCCCTTCCCTCCAGGCAGATTTCTGTCCAGAAAGTCCATTCAAAGTCACTGGCCCTGCCAGTACAACCTCCCTGTTTCACCAGGGCACAGCCATTCAGTGCTGATCACCCTTCATTTATTTGCCACACCTTTCCAGACATAGCTTTCCAACTACGTGTCAAGTGCCTGCTACGTGACAGATGAGCTCATGGTTACAAGTTACAAACAAAGTCCATGCCAAATGGAATTCTTATCTGGCAAGACATATTCCCTGTACTCTGACACTCTGATCTCACGTACGATGGAGAAAATCAGGAGTTGTCACAGTTTTGTCTGACCACAAATAATATTTGCTGAAATTCTTGTTTTTTTAAAAATTTGGCTCAATCCAAACTGCTTCCCTCTTGTCCCCATGTTTTGTAACCGCCAGCAAACTGAAAAACCAGTCATTCACCCACCTCTACCTGAGATGTCAGAAAGGGTGCAGGGAGGAAAGAAAGTGGAGGGAGGCAGGAGAGCATCACACGACCATAACAGCTGGGGTGTAAGATGCACACCCCTTCTGTGCAGCCTCGGCAGAAATTATAACTCTCTGAGCACAATCTTCCTGATGCTCCTGAAGCAGTGCTGCTCTGGGACACCCCTGAAGCAGAGCTGTGCTATCGCACCTGCAGTCTAGCCCTAAGTTGTTAACTTACATCATGGCAAAACATAGCAGGGATGTGTCAGCATCTGCCCTTACTCACCTCTCCGGAGAGCCAATCAGCTTAAAGTCAGTGGGCAAAATTCTTTTCTCCTTTTGGCAAGTGTAAATCCAGAGTAACTCTACTGCCATTAGCAGAGTAACACCAAATTTACACCAGTGGAAGAGACAGCAGAACTTGTCTAAATAGCTCTAGGAACCACGTGACATTGCAGCTCAAAGACATTTCAAAACAAATATCTCCACTCAGGCCCACTGACCAGGGAGGGGGAATTGTGGAAGTGGCAGTGGTGCAGAGCCCTGGACCTCTTTCATTTGCCACTGGGGTGAGGCACCGGGCACTCTGCATGGCTTTGATGTCTGGGGCACTCAGTGGTCTGGCAGCTCTGAGGGCTGGCTGCTCTGGCCCCACCTCTTCCACCTAACGTGCTGTTGTACCAAATAAAAGCAAGCAGCCCACATGGCTGTTCACCCCACTGTCTCCATTTGAAATCATACAGTAAATTATGATGTTGGAAACTACACAGGAAGAAAAAAAAGTGTGTGTATAAATAGCCCAGTGAAATCCTTTTTGCTCAAGCCAACCCAGCTGAGGCTGATGGGATGTGACTGGAGCTTTCAGGCTACAGTTTCAGGAAAAGGGTTTCCTTTCCCTAAAAGGGAAAGCATCTGGGTTTCATTTGGCTGGAAGTTAATACACTTGCTCAGGCCTTTCGGAAGAGTTTCAAAGTGAAATTAATGATCTACTGTCCGTAGCAGTGTCAATCCAAAGTAATTCCAATAACTTCAGTAAGGTCACTCAAGGCTTGAGAGCAGAATTTGGCCCAGAACATTCACTGAAAACTTGCTCAAAAGACTGGCAACTCTTCTCCTTCTGTCAGCTAGTAAAGAAACCTCTGTGGCAGTTAATACCATCCATAGGGCTGAAGCATGCCAGTAGTTTTTAGGCTTGGAACTATATAATGGACTCCTTTGTCCAGATAAAGCTTCTCTGGTCTTAATATTGGATTAAGTAGGAGTATATTAAAATATCCATCATGCCCTTTGAGTGCTTGAGATGTAGAATATGCTGACTGACTTTACTGTTGTATGTTCTAATTAAACAAACAGCATGTTGGACCAGAGCAATCTGTCTGTATTAGAGAAGGCAGCCAAGATGTGGTGGTGTTTACATCTTTTCATTACACCTCCCAAAAGAGAAGAGTTATTGAGGAAACACCTGCAGCATGAAGTTTTCTTAGCTGAAAAAAAGGGGGGAAATTGAGGCAGCAGCAAGGTCTAACATCAGACTGGGTAAGCCCAGCTACAGGACTTGAATCAATTCTCTGGTTCTGACAATCCCAGAAGTTTGGGGAGTGTTCAGATCTAGATGTAAAGTCTGTCTCATAGGCTCACGGATTTTTGAAATAATGCACCAAAGGTAACAAAAAGTAGGTAGTAGCTGAAGTCCAGATCCTCTAAAGAAGGGATGGGGAACCTAAGGCCCAGGGGCTGGATACGGCTCTTGGCTTGCCTGGATCTGGTCCCCGTGGCTTGGGGGCCTCTCTCAGGGTATGTCTACACTACAGCACTAATTCGAACTAACTTAGTTCAAATGAGTTAATTCGAACTAAACTAATTCGAATTAGTGCATCTAGACTTAAAAACTAGTTCGAATTAGCATTTTTCTAATTCAAATTAGCATGTCCACACTGAGTGGACCCTGAACTGAGGTTAAGGATGGCCAGAAGCAGTGCCAGCAGGGCATCAGATTAGGACTTAGAGTGTGGAGCTGCTGCCTCAGGCTAGCCGAGGGCTGTGTTTAAAGGGACCCGACCCCCACTCCGGACAGACAGTTCTCAGGGGTTCCCCGCTTGCAAAGCAGTCCTGGCTTGGAGTGCCCTGAGTGCCCACACTCGGCACATCACAACACTTGGCCATCAGCCTGGCAGCACTTGCCGCAGGCTGCCATCCGGAGGGGGGAGTCAATCAAGGGGCTTCAGGAGAGTTTCCACCCTGAGGAGCCCGCAGAGCCAGCCCAGTCCTCCCCATCGGGGGCTCGTACCCCATTCCTCCTTCACCTCCTTCCACTTACCCCTCCCCAGCCCCCCTTCCTGATGTACAAAATAAAGGACACGTGTGTTCAAAAACAGAAACTCCTTTTATTGAACAAAACTCGGGGAGACTGGGAAAAGGAGGTGGGAGAGGGGAAGAGAGAGGCTGGGGGGGGGGGGGGGGACTAAAATGAGC